CTGATTAAAGCGGCAGGAGAGAATAAGGAGATGTTTTTCTGTAAACTCCTGAGGCTTACAGTTTGCAGTTTCATAATCTGACAGTTATGAGATAGGGAATGAGAACTGAGAATTGATAGCTCTGGCCCTTCTGCTGAGATTATAAATGGTGAATGTGACCTTTCCCCCCCTCAAAAAAAACCCCTTAAGAACAAACAAATCAATGTCACCAAATGTATCTGCATGGATAGGTTGTTTAAAAAGAAATGAAGGACCTTATGAGCAATTGACTTTATTAGTTTTTATATTAGGCTCTTTTGCCTAATATAGAACACAAGTATTTCCATACACACTGAACCCTGGCTTTGTCAGTTCTATGAAGTGGAATAATTTGGTATCAGAAATGTTGATATTGTTATAAGTTTGGGGGGAGGAGCAAGACTCCCCTAAATTCCTGGAACTAGGGAAAAAGTTAGAAATTAACCAACCCCCCTGAATCTCCATATGCAGCAGGGATTAATGTGGGTGCCTGCCATAACTCAGAGGGGAGATGGTTCCACAGAGAGAGTGTCACAGTGGAAAAGGCCATATCCCTGGTAATTGCAAGATGAACCTTTCAAGGCAGCAGCACAGCCATGTGGGCCTCTAGCTGACCTCAGTGATGGTGTCAGATGATGTAGGAGAAGATTTTCCTTAAAATAGCTTGCTCCCGAGAGCTTGAGAGCTTCAGCAGCATATTGGGAGCCGGTATAGCAACACATGTAAGAGAGATGTTAACATGTGCATGAAAAGGTGCTCCAGGAAGCAGTCTAGCTGCAATATTCTGCACTAGCTGCAGCTGCTGCACTAGCTATAAGGCCAGCCCCACAGAGAGTGTATTACAGTCATCCAGCCTTGAGTTTCCCTATGCATGAGTCAAAGGGGTGAGGCTCTCCCCGGCAGGACACATTTGTAGCTGAAGAACCAGCCAAAAGTAGTTGCTGTACCCACTTGGGCCTCCAGTGAGAAAGGTAGATCTAAGAACATCCTCAGGGGTGCACACACATACCCTCACCCCAAGCTGCGCACTTGCTCCTTCAAATGGAGGGCGGGCAGCTATGAAATTCCCAGACCCAGGAGCCACCAAACAACAGGACTTCTGCCTTTTCAGGATTCAGTCTCTGGTTTATTTTCCCTCCTCCAACCTACCACTTCATCCAGAGACGAGTCCAGGATATGCTAATAGAGAAATGAAGCTGGATATCATCACTATACTGATGACACAGTGCTCCAAATCCCGCAATGACCATTCCTAATGGCTTAAAGAGCACTGGGGACAAGATTGCAGCAAGTGCCAGGGAGGCTTAAGTATAGCCACCCAGTGCTGCTCTCTAGATATGGCCCTGTAAGTAGGAGCAGAATTCCCTACTCCCAACTTCTTTGGATGAGGTCACCCTGTAATCACGCTTGGGTTAAGGGACTCTAGTTCCTCCTTCAAACTCTCTCACAAGAACAAAGAGAGAGAGAGCAGTGTAAAGTTTAGAGTCCCCATTAAATGCTCATGATAACCAATTCTTTCTCTATGTTAAAACAAAATTGGACTTAACAGCTTGGGGAAGTTTTGCCCATTATTTCTGAATATGTGTTCCTAATGAGTCATTCTCATGAACATCATACTTACAAAAATTAAAAGCACAAATCTCAGCACATTCATTTTAAGGAAAACCAGCTATTCTTTAGAAAGAAGGAGCTGTCATAATTACTTAAAGCATCATATATGTCACCCTTAACCAGGTTTCCATAATAATGAGAAACTGGAAGCTTTGTTATTAATAGAAATAAGTGGCACACATCCCTCACATATCAGATTTACAGTCTGTTTTTAAAAATGGGGTTGTAACATACTGAATTTTTTTAAGGGCCATGCTAGCAGAAGGAGATGTGAATGGAAACAATTGCAATGCCAGGCCCATTCTGTGAAGATTAATGGTACACTGTACATCATCTAGTACAGTGGTACCTCGGGTTAAGTACTTAATTCGTTCCGGAGGTCCGTTCTTAACCTGAAACTGTTCTTAACCTGAAGCGCCACTTTAGCTAATGGGGCATCCTGCTGCTGCCACGCCTCCGGAGCACGATTTCTGTTCTCATCCTGAAGCAAAGTTCTTAACCCGAGGTACTATTTTTGGGTTAGCGGAGTCTGTAACCTGAAGCGTATGTAATCTGAAGCATATGTAACCCGAGGTACCACTGTACATAAAATTGGTATCACTGTTATCCCAGTGCTGTCACATCAGTTCACACCATGTTCAACTGCTTTGCTACCCCTAGAGATTAAGGAACTTGACCCCCAGCAATTATTATGAGCAGAAGACCCCCCCCCCCAACATGCTGGAAATCAGTTGATCTGAAGACACAATTATCACAGCCAGAGCAAAAGTTAGTCTTCTGTAGTAGCCTAAGAATTAGCTGAAACGTTATTGAGTGCATAGCAAAGATCCCATCAGGGCAGGCTGAGTGGTTATAGCAAACAACTGTGAAAGCAGCAAAGAAACAAGTTTCTTCCCATTTAATTGTAAATAACCAAGCAAAGAGATAATTAGGGTCCTGAAGGGACAGTCTACGATCGTTGGGGGAATGAGAGCAACCATGGTTTGATTGCGGGGAAGGGGAGTAAAATACATGAATAGAGGGTCTAAGAAAGTAAAGCAGAGCAAAGCAAGTGTGTGAGAGAGTGTGTATGAAACATTGAGTTTTGAGAACTTCTAAAGACAAAGCAGAAGGGGGGGGAGCAGATTCAAAGGCAAATATGTGATCTGGTGGGTGAAACCTGTCTGTCTATTTATTTATTTATTTTATATTTTACATACTACTTAATATTAAGTCTCTAAACAGATTACAAAATAACAAATAGGGAATATAAATGAAACTGGAAACCTACATATAATACAATGTTTCAAAAAGTAAGAACCAGGACACCCCAAAAGTCCACAGGTTGTTGAGCTTTTTTTGAAATCCTGGTAATGTCCGGACATATGGCAGCCCTAGAATACAAGCTACAATGCAATGCAGTATAGAGCAATTAACATTTCCAATGCAGCTGATCCATTGGGATCCTTTCTTTGGTTTCTCTCTTGCCAAGGCACACACTGACTCTAAACGCATCATGCAGTTTCTTCTTGCTTCAGTTGAAAGATGGCACAGCACTGGTTTCCTCTAACATATATCTGGATATTAATTTGCATCCATTGAGGCTTTTGCTTCTAATTCATTTGTTACCTCTCACACTGTGGTGTTGGCAACACAAAGTCAGCCAAGACTGGAATGTCAAATATGTGTATGAGATCACTGTAGGTCCATAGGAACAAAGGCAGCAGGAACACGAGATCTATGCAGCCAGGTGTTTAGCTGCATCTAAGTCAGAAAGGTCCCAGAGACAGTCAAGCCTGAAAGATTGGGGGGGGGAGCGCAAATGAAACAAAAATCTGTGGTTGTGGCAGGAGCCGTAGACTGGCCTGCTGTGATAAAACTACTGGTACGCAATTGTTTGAAAGCTTAGAAAAGGAAGTAATTCAATAGGAGGACATTCTTTAAAAAAAAAACAGTCTACAAAGGAAGAACCTCTCAAAACAGTAGCTAATGTGCACACTCAGTTTGCAAAATACCAGTGTAACCTTTTCAGGCACTTTTAAAGCTCATTTAAGAGTTTTAAAGCTTAATCCTTAGTGCATCAAACAGCAGGGGGCTTGAACAGGTGACTGTACAACTGTTGTAAAGTTGTCACTAAGTAACATTAAAACCCAATAACCATTGCAGCATGAAAATATCACCCATCTGTGCCATGATCTGTAAGGAAAATGTGCCTGCAGAAAGGATCGGAAACTAAAAGGTCTACGGGCAAATGCAGGATAGAGTTTCTTGTAAAAATGTGGCGTATCCTTTTGCACAGTATTCATTTGTGAAGGAGTGTGGATTAAGGTGCTAGGACTGTAGCAGGTATCACTAACTTACTGCTTCACTTCCTTGATTTAGTCTTTTTTCCTCTGATTTGTTATTTTGCTTGCTTCTCTACCTCCTGTGGATCCAACAGCTAATTAAAGAAAAGAAGGACCTCTTCATCTGAGGGAAACATGCGATAATTCGTAGGGGGCTGGGACAGAGTGATCCCAGAGCTTACGGTGCCTTTGTTCTTTCACTTACCCGTCCTAAGCAAGATGATACTGGCTCTGCTGTGTTCCTTTACAGGAAGAGGAGGTGAAAGCTAAACTAGCTTCAACTTCTTTCACTTTAGAAGGGATAGAGACTGTAAATTATTGACTGTACTGGATGGGACTAATGGAAGTTTGGAGTCCAGCAGTTTAGAGGATAACTCAGTTGGTAAGAGCATGAAGCTCTTAATCTCAGAGTTGTGTGATTGAGCCCCACATTAGGCCTGCATTGCAGGGGGTTGGACTAGATGGCACTTGCGGTCCCTTCCAATTCTATGATTCTTTCATTGAGTTTCCCCAGCCTGGTTTATCTCAGATTGTTGGCATCCATCTGTCTCAGTGGAGTGCACCTCCAGTGGTGAAATCAAACCACTGTGTTAGCAACACCAAAGTGCCCTTCCAGACAACAATAGCCCACACACACGCCCCCGGCCTTGCCGATGTGGCCCAAAAGAAAGCAGAGCAACACTGAGCAGGACCTCAGATGGTGATCACAACATAAAGACAGGTTTTTGTGGGTGGAGACTGTCCAGCTGGTGACAAGTCATAGTTTTCCCTACCCTTCCTAAGGTATTCCAGATGATATTGTGGGCAAGCAGCAAGGGAATTAAACAGCTGCTTTGACTGGGACACAGCTACAATATGCTTCCACTTGGCCCTCATGTCCTTCATGACACATCAAGGGTTCTATGAATTGGCTCTGACTGGAAACCAGGAGGCAGAAGAACAGGGTTCAGATGTGGTAGTATTTCTCATTTTCAGAACTTTGAAAGTCAAATCAAGGTCACTGTGCTATGTGAGGACACCCCACACCCACACCCACACCCTACATGGGCCATAGCTCAGTTGGTAGAGCAGGAGACTCCTAATCACAGTGTTGTGGGTTCGATTCCTATGTTGCAGTGGGTCCCTTCCAACTACAGTTCTACAAATACAATTCACTGTATTTATTTCCTCCCCACTATGAATAAGCACTTTTTAAAAAATTACAAACAAGTATTTTGGCCACACGTTGTCTTTTCATTGATTATGCTGTCACTTACAATAATAACAGAGTGGTAATTTATAGTAGTGTTATTTTGTTCTCTTTTGCTGACTGCGTCATTAAAATGCCGCTAGCTGAATGTGGGATTCTGCAACTCACTCGTTCTCTGTCCCTTACTGTGGATATTCATTCTGGATTTTCTGGACATAGCTGTGCTTTCATGTCAGGTTGTTGGGGGTCAGTGGTTTCGTGTGTGGGCGTTCAGGTACTATTTTTAGTATATATTTGTGTCTGCTCCTGCCTGGATCCACTCTAGTCAATGTGCTTGGATTCAAGGATTGTCATTAGTGATGATGTGCAATATCACCACTGAGCGCAATATGGCTCTTTTCGCAGTAGGTGGGTTTTCTTTTACAATTATTGCTTGCTCATGGAAATCAGGTACAAAAGGGGCAGATGCCATCTTGAGTTGCTTTCACAACAGCAAGTATTTTGAGGACAGGGAAAGGTCAAGAGTGTTGGTTTCTGTGCAACTCTGGTTATACTCCATGCAGGGCCCTTATCCGTTTTTGCTCAGCCCACCTTGCTAAGCAAGACATGTATTAATTTGAAAGAAATCAGTGTATATATCAAAGATTAGCAAAAGCTGTGAGCTAAATGCCTTGTGTACATTTTTCATCTTTATGATGGTTTCTAAACCCTAATGGTTCTGAAGCAGATGTTTGTATGGTACATGACTCAGAGTAGGCAGGATCTACTTTCTGGTATCACTAATCTCGGCTACATGTAAACACATCAAATTCTCTGGAGCCATGTGGTGCTATGCCATTGTGAAGGATGGCCCAGAGTTTCAGGTGGAGATTATGCATGAGGATTTGTGAATCAACAAATACTGCAGATCCTCAGTGATTGTGGGATTTAAATAGGTTTGCCATATTCCAAATTGTAATAACCAGGACACCCCAAAAGTTGTTGAGCTTTTATTAGGAAGACCCCAAAATTGTTAAGCTTTTTAAAGGAAAACCCCCCCTTCTTCTTTTTTTTACAAAAACTCTCGCAAACATGCTGTTGAACAAGCCTCATTTGAGTGTTTTCAGCTTACTCTAATAGCATCAGAAGTCAAGAAGTGGTGAGTTTTGAGATGGCGATCCATGGGCTGCTAATGAGGATGTCCCAAAGTCTTAGATGTAGGGACAGGAGAGAAAGTAAATTTATTTCTCATTTAAAGGTGAACCTACCTAATTTGCACATTCCAAAACACTATGCAAACTGAAACATTGCCATTCTTTTGAAATTCACACTTCTGTGAATTTTGCAATTTACTTCTCCAACCAAGTAATGTGTACAAAAATGCATGTACTAAGATAAATTGTGCATTAAAATCCATATATTATTGCAATTAACATAAAAATGCATTGAATTAAGAAAATAGGCTTTGCAAGACATGAATTAGGGGAAATTGCATACAAAAAGATTAGGAGAGATTTGTACTAAAATCATGAACTTTCATGAGGACTTTTATTTAAAAAAAAAAATGCAAAGTGATGTGAAAATTCAGAAAACTGACTTTAAGATTTTATAAATGAGAAACCAAGAGAGATCAAAATGGACAGATTTCCCCATTCCTTGCTATATTGAAGGAGGGAGCTATTGGGAGATAGACCAGAGTTGATCTGATTAGCTTCCCTAACCACTTTAAAATGTTTAGCTTGGGTTTGCTCACTGGTCTGTGCAACTATGAAGCAATACGATTCTATGATCCTCCTGCTGGATTCAAACTATCTTCTTGTTTTCTCTATGCATTTATCGTCTGCCTATTTTGCAGGAATGAGCCTCCCATAAAGCCCCATCTTTAAATAATGATGCATTCCCATTTATGGCTTGGCGCATGAATCCCATTTTGCTGCATGTGAGTTTACTGCCACCTTTCCTGCTATGTGCCAGCATTCTTTTGCCAAGTGATCAAAAGTCTGGCATCATTTTTGTCACCTCTCCATCTATTCCTGCCTATTCTCTCTACCTACCACAGAGCTTGTGTGAATTATCCATTTAAACCCCTGAGCAAGAACAGCTGAATAAATTAGATTGATATGGGGGAGAAGGGAACACAGTGCTCTATAGATTTTGTATTACCAACACTCAACTTACTTGCTGTTTAAACAGGAGTTATTCTTATTAAAGATTTGCTGCTGGAACCCTAATGGAATTAAATCGATGTTAATGGTAGCTGTTGGAACGGTTAATCATCATGATAGCTGATTTTCAAAAATGTACTTCCTGTTTTGTATTGGGAGTAATTAGCTTAATAAGACTCTAATGAGAGCATGTCAACACATAGCCAAAATTAGTGGAAATGGTTCTGGTGTGTAAGATAAAGAAATAAGAGATATAAAGAATGCATATAATGACAAAGAAATCAGTGGACACCCATATTTAAAATAAGCAAGTTTCAACCTTGTTTAGGTAAGGGGGCTTCCTAGTCAAAGAACTCTTGGTTTGGACTTTTACAAAGGGATTAGGAACTTCTGTTGAAGAATTTTTATACAGTTGGGGTGAGGAGTGGTTGGAGTCAGAGCTTCGTTTAGCAAATTCACATGTAAGACATTGTATGATAATACACACCAGTAGTAACTGGTGATGTCTGATACAGTAATTTTTCCACTATCAATTATATATGCTTATTTTGCCTCCCAGTACTTTTCTAAAAAGGAACGCGGGTGGCGCTGTGGGTTAAACCGCAGAGCCTAGGACTTGCCGATCAGAAGGTCGGCGGTTCGAATCCCCGTGATGGGGTGAGCTCCCGTTGCTTGGTCCCTACTCCTGCCAACCTAGCAGTTGCAACCTTGGTTTTATCAGCTCTCTACGCAACTGAGCTATCCGTCTCTAATAATATCTGCTCTTACGTTTTCCATGAAGCTGATGGCTCCTTAGGCATTTGGTTTTCTTACAGACTACTCTGTTTCTCTGGTGTCTGTGCTTTTCATTCTTCTCATATAATTCCCCTTGCTTCTTGTGTTATTCCCATTTCACACCGAGTTCCTATGAGAGGAAGGCTTGGTTGCCTCCGCTGTTCATAAAACTTGACAGCAAGTCAGTGCTAATTTGAGACATCTTAGGTGCATGTGATATTGTGCTGGCAACATATGGGGTTTGCCACTGATGCCAGGCTACATTGGTAGAATTTAAAAGCATGATGGATTAGAAACTATGGTTCTGCATCTCCAGAGGGACATCCCAGTTGCCCTAAGTCTCACTGCCGCCACCACCAGCTGGGGGCGGGGGCTTGAGGCATGGTTCAAAGAGGATGCAAACAATATCTCTCATCAAAAAACCAAATGCAGCTAACCAATAATATGCCATAAACAGATGAGGTCACTTTCAGTGCAAACATACCTTCTGGTGAGGGAAAGTATACAAGAACCTGTTTGCCTGTTTTTCAACTTCATACCTGTGTTTAGGATGCAGGTTGCTTAAAAACAAGCCTCCGTCTCCTTTTCTTTACCAGGTCTTAGCAGTGCTGTTGCAGGTGATGCAGCTGAGATGCTGGCTTTGTGTGATCCTCCTTTGAAAGCACTTTGTGCTGTCATCTTTTCCCCTACTGCCCTCCACCCCACCCTACCCCCTGCCTTGTTCAACAGAGCTACATACACAGCATGCCACCAGCATCCCACTGATCCCTTCCAGGGAGAAAAAAAGCATCATGGAACAGAACTTTAAAAGCACCCGTCCCTCTGTATCTCACACACATGCATGATAGAGCCTCGTTGTTTCTTGCTGACTCCAGGCATTTCCGTAGTAGAAAGCAGTCAGCATTAGAGGAAGCTTTACCTGTATTTCCAAACCAGTTTCAGCAGAGGAGCTACACAGAAAGAAAAGGAGACTGATTTCTTCCTGGGTATATTTTCCAACTTCTGAATACAGAGCTAAGTTTGAAATATAGTTTAGATTAACCAGACACCAATGACATTAAAGCAGCTTACGCTCCTTCCAGGTCTATGGGGGTAGGTCTGCATTGGTTGGCATTTTTGTTATATAGCTAGGATAATATTATTCCTGAAGTCTCAGTAAAAAAAATAATGAATTGAGGCTCAAATTTATGCTACAGGAGCTGTTGTGGTGTGGAGAAGGCCCTAGAGGGATGGAGCATGCCACCTGTCATATCCAGTTGTGTGCTGTTCCATCTGCCTTTTAGCTACAGAATACATTGCTATGCACTTTTGATGAAGTTTTGGAGAAGGGCATCCAAATATGCTTTCCTGGAAGCCAAGGTGAAAACCAGAGTCTGGATTGACTGTGCCACTCAAATGTGGATCTCTGCTTCTGCAGAATGAGGCATCCATTTAAACAGAGGCCAAAGGCACTGGCCCAGGCACTGATATGCAGTTCAGAGCTTGATTTCAGACCTACTCCTTTGTGACAGAGGCAGCGTTTCCTCCAGGATGTTTGCAACAATGAGGGTGATTGACCCTGGCTTTCAGCATGTTCAGAATCCATTGCTTTCACCACCAACCCAAGTTGTCCCAGGCGGCTGCATACATTTGGCATTAGGAGGCAGAGCTTCTGCATCAGCAGGCATGGCTTCCTATATGGGCCCTGGAGCCTCTCGTTCTACAAATCCAGACACAGACCATCAAATAGATTTTGCATTAGTGAAATATTTTTGGCAGATGGTGAAAGAAAGAAAAATGTTTGATTTTGGTGAAAATAAACAGGGTTTAAATAAATGGACTGGGTTGCTGTACTGAGTGAGCAAGTTATTGCCAAGGAGATCCTGTGGCATGCTCTTTCCAACCCAGGTAAGATAGGAAGTGTCAACTTCAGCTTTTGTGCTGGCCTGCAGAAAGCACATTTTCTAATATAGGCTTAGAACAATACTGGAAGTCCAGAATGTTAAACATTGAAGGCTCCTGTACTAAGATT